GGGGACAGCCCGCTTGAGGCCCAGGGAGCCTCTCGCAGTGCTTCAGGCATTGTCGATGCAGAGCTGCCCTAGGAGGGAGGAAACGGCCGCGCAGGCCGCCGCCACGGGCTCCCGGCGGCACGCCGGGCGCAGGGGACGTCCGGCACTACTGGGGCCGTCTGGCAACCTGCAGACTCAGAGGAAATACCTCAAGTCCCAGGGTCATTTCAGACTCACGGTGAAGGCACGCGATGATACAGGCACGCTGCCCGTAGCACCAGAGTAGCACAGCGGCGCCCAGCACGCCACTGGGAGGAAGCAGTGGGTGTAGGCTGATGAAAAGACTGTGTTTAGTAATTCACACTTCTTCTGTGTAAGCTAAGCATATACATGCGTTTACAAGCTATGATGTGCGAGCTTCTTATGCCAGTCTGTGGATTGTTTATGAAATGCGCTACATATGTTGTCTGTTAGCGGTCCTTCCACATCTGTTCCAGAGACGTTTCTATGACCGAATATTGCCTGTCGTTGCTCTTTCCGATTTCCCTCAGGGAAAGGCAGAGGTGATGGAATGTGGCTCATCTCCGACATCCGAAGGGAGTTACTCGATAAATGCAGGAATTCCCAGCACTCCTGAGTTTCCACTGCTGGCTGGTTTGTTAACCTGCTGCGCCGCAGTAACAGGCGTGTTGTCCCTTTCAAGACACAGCCTTTCATGTTGTTGGTGGAGACAGTCCGTGCTGACTCCTCACTAGATCTGACCAGCATATGTATGGCAGACCTCAGATCTTGATTTCTCCTGTACTTGTATTTCATGTAGCTCTAAGGGTGTCCACTCACTGTAGTAATATTATCCTCAGTTTTGTGTCGGAGAAAAAATAGCATGTAGTTAATTTACACAGATCGTTGTCTTTTGACAATATATAGTTCTCATGGCTGGTTATCTCAGCGGTCTGTGCTTCCTGCAAGCGGTAAGCCGAGCTTCACCTCTGGTGCTTGGCTCAGAGCAGTGCAGGAACCATGATATTGTAATTCCAAGAGTTCCCCCTTGTGGGGAAATCCAGAGGACGAGGAGCAGCTGTGGACGGGCCAGGGTCCATGGCTGAGGAACCAGAGTCCATATCCCTAGTCCCTGAACAAGAGCAAAGCAGCAGTTCAGCTCGTAGACCTGTCACTTTTCTGTGTACATTGGCCCGGTAGCTTCACAACTGACTGAAGTTGATTTAACTGTAGGAGGTTATTCACTCTCCAGTCTGGTTGCATGTCCCTATCACCTCTCTTGTTTCAGCTCTAGCACTAGTTCTGGCAGAGGTCAGCTAATTCCTCTCTTTATCAGGGCTAGTTTCCAGCAAGCAGACCCAGCCCGCCCTGCAATATTGTGATTACTGAACCTAGTGTGGCAGAGGTGAACGGCTGGCAGAAGGGGCACCCATTCAGTGGTAGTGTGCTCTTTGACTGTATTGCCGTGCTCCTGGGACTACACGAATAGACAGATGCACATAAGAGCTATATCCATCTGTTGGTGTAGTCCCAGGACCATGGCGATATAGTCCTGTTCACATTTTGACAAAAAACTATAGGAGGTAGAAACACAGGATAAGATTCTTCATTGCAGCCAGAGGAACTGAAGCCTGATTTTCTACAAACTTCTCTCTCGCAAATCGTATTCCCTCTCATTACAGTAAGTCCAGATCCCCCATGTTCCCTCCCACAGCAAAACTTCTAGTTTCTGCCTGTTGTCCCTAAACCTCTCCACAGTATCTCTAGCTTCTCCCCTTTGGTTATCCCCACATTGTCTCTCTAGGCAGGAGGTGGTATATACGCTGGAAGTTTTGGAGCAACATACATAATACTGGCTTGCTGGCTGTGGTCAGAAAGAATAAGGGCTGAGCTGTTTCCAGCTTCCTTGAGCAGGATCTCTCCCTGTTGTACTCAGCCACCAATTTTCATCCGTAAGAATTTGCTGTTTCTGTTCTACCCCTCTGCCAACTTGGCTAATGAGCTCAAAGACTACTGCGGGTGGAGGGAGGAGAGGAAGGCCAATAACTAGCTGGTCATCTGTACTGCTGTACCCACATTTCATTGTGCCACCGTCCCCCAGACTTAAAGCTTAGATTTTGAAATCCCATTCTGCCGCACAAAGTAAAAGCTGTTATGGAATGTACATGCTCCTGCATAACATATATTGCCCCATACTGATAAGGCCGGAGCCTGTGCGTCCTAGAGTTGCCTAATTCGACTTAAGAAGTGCAATGGCATCATAAACTGTCCTAGCTGAGAGGCTGCCTGATAGCATTTCAGCTGTTTTCTCACTTTGTGAGGATAGTGATAGTCTTTTGTTTAGCTAGCAGGGAGAATTTAATTAATGTAAGTATTTGGTACATTAAATGATGACTAAGAACCTCCCTAAAGTATGGCGAATGGTAATGAGTTGCTGTGCTACAACTGCTTCCACTCTAGTTCCTAGAAAGGATCGGCAGCATTTCCCACAGTATTTTGTGAAAGACTTCAAAGAGTGCTCATATTGCTGAGTAGTAGGAACCGGCAAATATATTACTAAAAGGAGAAGGTTGGATAAAATCTCTCAAATAAAGCTCAACTCAAATTAGCCTGTGTGGAAATGTGAGATAAGTTTACAGCAAAGTCATGGATAAGGCTAAATTGATGGCATTCTGTTATGCATTCTCTACAACAGCTCACACCAATTTGATGTTATGGTTCTATTTTAATGCTTTGTGAAATGTACTCCTTAACTCTTTTTTCCCATTACCACAATAATAAACTGTCCATAACTGCAATGTGTAGCGGCAGGAGAGAGATACTATATACAAGTATAGAAATGCTCCCATCAAAATATTATGCAGTTCTCATGGATCGTAAGAATGATGATCATAAGTTTTCTGCATCAGATTTATGAGATGACATTCTTTCTTACGTTGCTCTTTCTATATTCATGTTCTCTCAAGCATTTATAAATGCTTATACCTGGATATAGCTCTGAAGGATGTCAATTGCCCTGTCTTACCACGGGTGTCAGGAGTGAAGTAATTACAAAAATAAATATATATCAGAATAGATTGTGGGCTCTAGCGTTATATTTAGAACTATTGTTTTAAGTTTCAAAATGATACGTTCCTCTGGTCCCATAGATGAATGAGGGGGGCCAATTTAGAACACATCTTTGTTCTCAAATATAGCGACAGTGTAACTTTGTTGCAACGAGTACTAGCGTTAGAGAATGATATTAAAAGGCTGATAGATGAGCAGAGAAATAAATACTGTAGTTAACATTGTAAATTCTGTTTTTAAAATTCAACACGGAGGAAACTTATAAAATCCATATCAGATGTTCCATCCCTGTAAGAGGGCAACCAATCCATCCACGAGGGTTTTCCTGGAACTGCAGACCCCATTATGTTAAGCTGTATTGAAAAAGGAATCACCTTTCTTGAACATGGAAACTTACAGCAATTTGGGGACTAATTAATGACGTGTTAAATTTCCCTACCTTGGGGGTAGCAACATCCGTCAGAGGGGCGGGGCAGATGTCTGGGGTAGGTAACAAGGTTAGCCAGTTAATTTATTATGTTGCCATATGTCTATCAGAGACCTTTGGATCTCCAGCTTCCCATGTTTTTTCAGAGTCTAGTCATTTGTAATCTGCACTAATGTTGCTGCTGTATTTTGGTCTGTCAGAGACCTTAGGATCTCCAGCTTCCCATGTTTTTTCAGAGTCTAGTCATTTGTAATCTGCAGTAATGTTGCTGCTGTATTTTGGTAAAATAGTTCTGGTTCATGAATGTTGACTTAGGTAGCAGCCAGAATTGTTTTTTTTTTCTTTTTTTCCAGAATCCTGCATTAAAAGATTAACAGATTTCCTCACCTCATGTAAGGAAATCTGACTAATGATTTTGTTTTAGCTTATGTGACAATGTACATCTTTTTGGTTTCCCAGAAAAGGAACCAAATACAAGCCTGGTGTAAATTCATCACAATAAGCTTTCAGCAGGGATTAATTTTCCCCCAGACGCATGCCCACTTATGAATAGATTCTCTTCTTTTTTTCATCTTCCTCCATTTACCTAAATGTTTCTTGCTTTTACATGTTGTATTCTTATCAGTTAAATTAACAGAAAAGTATTTCTCAGGGGGTCACAAAAGAGTACAATACTTAGATTTGCTACTTCATTTTTAAATAAAAGCAGATGGCCTGTATCACAACTGTCAGCACACATTTCACCCTAAGATGCAAAATGCTATTAGTTTCTTTTTTTGGCATGGATAGGCAGACTTGGTAACGGCAAAAAGGCCTAGGTAAGAGTCAGAACCATTATTTCAAACTCAAAGAAAACTTTTTGTAAAACAGAAAACTTTAAACATTTTAATCTCGTCAGATTCTTATTGCAAAAACAGAGGGAGAGCTAGTGATTTTTTTTTCTACCACTTTTCTACGATAGGCAAAAGACACCTATCAGTTAAGCATGGTAAGAGGACACATTAAAGCTCTAAAATACTATCTTCGAATTGAATGGATGTGTAACTACAGAAAGAGTTGAGTCTGATCAGTAACACTCCATTTAAATCAAAAACTCATCCTGTTCTCCTTAAAGGTAATTGCAAGTGAGGAGTGTTGACTCCCTATCTGAAAAACAGACCTCTACCTTCAATCAGTGAAGATTTGCCTCCTAATCTTGAAACGATAAAATAATTTTATTTTACAATATGTGATTTTTATTCCCTTAAAGCAAAATGGAAAAAGGTATTATTGCCCAATGAGATTTCTTTCTTGATTTATTGAAAGAACAGTATGGCACTACTGCATTATCTTTCCTTGTCTTTCAAAAAATTGTTAAAATCTGTTTCAATTTATTTATTCTGTTGCATCCATTTTGTCTCCTCTAGGGGGCAATTTAACACAAGCTATATGCTTACATGAAGTATCGACTGGTAAGGAAAGATTACCTTTGACAGCAGATGTTGAAGAATTTATTTCCATTTAAAGGGCCTGACCAAGCTAAAATTGGTTTCCGTGGCTGGTAGTCCATAAAACTTTTGCAAGGGCCTGCTTGGACTCAGAAGGGATCAGAAGGGATTCTGTGCTCTCAGGGATATATCCACCATTTTCAGTGCTGCAGAAGGTCGAACAAAGCTTTCTGAATTTCCTCCTTCTCCAGAACAGGGTCTGTTCAGCATGGGCAGCCAAGGCAGGCTCTTGAGGCTATCATCTGACTTTTTTCCTGTGTTGCTTTTTTTCACCCTCTGCCTAAAGGATAGAAGAAATACATTACCATGAACAAATCACTGATCTTTGCGTCGCTACTACTTCCACCCGCATGAGGATCTTAAAGGGAAGCATGAGCTCATGGCTAGAGCACTGGACTGGCACTCAGGCAGTGCAAGGACATTTCTCTATTCTTAGGCTGGCAGCTGCCTGCCCTTGGGAAACCATGTCATCTCTCTGTGCTTCAGTTTCCATAAGCAACACGAGGACAACAAACAACTACATCTGATTAAAATTCTTTTTCCTAGGCTTCCCCGAACTTCCTGGGAAAGGAGTTCTGTAGGGACTATTATCAGCGGTGTTACTACTACCAGATGCCCGTCCCGTTAGTGGAAGAAAATGTGTTAATCTCAGACAAGTTAACGGCACCGATTCCAGAAACGATTTGCAAAAGAAGCAATAATAACCTTGTAGTGTCACTGTGTTAACTGGCTTACATTTCAAATCTCTGAGCCCTATTAACTTTTTCTTGTCTTTTTAACCAGAAGTGCTTTGTATTTCCATACTTCTTTCACCTTCAGTGCTCTGTATGTTTCCAAGGGTAATATAAGAATTAGTTATTTTTTTCTTATTGGATTAATGTTGCAAAAATAATATAAATAAATAAAGACATGACCCTATACATACCCAGAGCTCAGACTTTTCAGAATCCGGGAGTCTTATTTATTCCGTATATAAAAGGACAAGAACGACATTCACTAGAGGATACTCTAAATCGGTGTGCAATTAATATTTCAGACACTTAGGCACACTGTGATTAAGAAGATAGATAACTGCATCATTATTCCCTGTGAAATCATGACTAGGAATTTTCAAAACTCACGTTAAACTCACGTCTGTCCTGAAAATCCAGTCATAGAGCAACATAAGGAACCTGCAGCAGAAGAATCCCTATCTCTCAGCAGGGAGATTCAGAAAGATTCACAGAATCACAGAATGGTTGAGGTTGGAAGGGACCTCTGGAGATCATCTAGTCCAACCTCCCTGCTCAAGCAGGGCCCTCTAGAG